TTTAACACAGACTTTTAAGAAGGGATGGATGTTTGCTTCAAGTGATAGGTCAGGTTAGTGAAATTATATTATCTTGCTGTATGTGTGTCGTTTTCTTTACGTTTTCTGACTAAAAGCAACCAAAAAGCCATTTTAAAGTGGTTAAGCAAATTATAATAATAATAATAATAATAATTGGCAGGGATCCCAGACCAATACAATTAGTGTGCCTCCTCTATTTTAAAACCCACGAGCCACCACTGTTAATAAGTACACAAATGTCTTCAATAAGACAGACTGGAAACCATAATTGTTTTCTGATATTTTTTTGGATGAATGACTTCCACGGTTTGGCAGAGAAAAGACAGTATACTCTAAAAACAACTGTCCCTCCACCTTGTGATACACACATTCATTTCTATTTCCCCTCTTTGGCCAACAGGAACATTTTCATTTTGATTGCCAAAGGAAACATACTGCAGTCCAATAAACCAGAAGCAGTCATTTAACTGCTACGAGAGATGTCCCAGACTAACATGAATCTTCTTGAAGTGCAAACACAAGGGCCATTATTGTTAGAATTGCTTCTTAAGAGAGAGAAAAAATAGATTTCAGTCTTACCCTGTCCTCTTCTCCTTCCTCCTGTGAGTCATAGAAGAAAAGAAATAGTTCAGTTAGAATAGTAATGTACATAATTATAAAAGAATTAGGTTTAAACATTGCTTTCAAACACATAGTAATAGTTTCATTACTATTACAATTACTTTTAATAGTACTGTAATAGTGTTGTAAGGTAACAAGTGAACACAATAAAATCATACTGGAAAACATTTATATAATTATATAAATAAGGAATGGGTGCTTTGAATGTTATAAATGTATTAATTACAATATTCATTATCCAAAACAGACCTATCTATCTATCTATCTTGGTTAAGTTGTTATATGTGACCCTGGAGCACAAAAGCAGTGTTAAGTCGCTGGGGTATATTTGTAGCAATAGCCAAAAATACATTGTATGGGTCAAAATGATAGATTTTTCTTTTATGCCAAAAATCATTAGGATATTATGTAAAGATCATGTTCCATGAAGATATTTGGTAAATTTCCTACTGTAAATATATCAAAACTTAATTTTTGATTAGTAATATGCATTGCTAAGGACTTCATTTGGACAACTTTAAAGGCGATTTTCTCAATATTTAAATTTTTTTTGCACCCTCAGATTCCAGATTTTCAAATAGTTGTATCTCGGCCAAATATTGTCCTATTGTCCTAACAAACCATACATCAATGAAACGCTTATGTATTCAGCTTTCAGATGATGTATAAATCTCAATTTTGGAAAATTGACCCTTATGACTGGTTTTGTGGTCCAGGGTCACATATAAGTGATCATGAATAATTGTTTAAGCACTTTTGTCTTACCTGCTCTTCCTCCTCAGCTGGTTTTCTCTAACAAAAAGAAAGTTAAAATTAAAATGAGAAAATTACATTAGGCAGAAAAAAACATATTTACTGAATAAACACCATATAATTTAAAGTCACACTGTCAACAGGAAACACTAGCAGGAATCAAACTACAAGAGAGGAGATGGTAAAGCAGGGCATTAGATGTTAATTTCAGTTGCATAGGTGAGATTACAGGTAAACCTTCAAAAAAAAAACCTGGAGGTTAATAGATGAAGCAAAGGATGAGATTATATGGAAGAAGAATGAGCTGCTATAGGAAAACAGATGATGTTTGAGGAGGAATGAGGGTTAAGTAGGAGTTTTGATGGTCAGTTACACTCTCTTCGTCCTCTTCTGCGATATCATCTCGAGCATCTGTCTCTGCCTTCTTGCCTGGATCATCTTCTTCCAGCTCTGCTATGTGTGCATCTCCATTCTGCTCAGTCTCTACGATTTCTTTTTTCTAGAAGAACAAACAGCGCATACCAGGAAAAGAGAAATTAAAAGGCACTGGCATAATGCACCACGGGTTCCTAGGAAGTTTTAAAACAGGTCCCTCGGGATGAAAACAGGCGTGAGTTAATGAACTGGAGGAACATTCACCAGTGGAATAGTACTAAGAAAGAAAAAGGGTTTGTTATATTAGACGATGGGAATGTTGACATGGAAAATGGACATTATCAATCAGTTTGCAATGTTGAAAAATCCACAAAAGCATATTTCGATCTTTCAAGACAAAACATTGGAAGAAAAACGTTTCCCTCAAACAAGCATTAGGGTAGTAATAAGTAATAGGGTTGTAATTACATAGCTGTAAATGCAAAGTGAAGTTGTAAGTACACGTAATTACAGAGTTGTAACTGCATAGTCATTTTTTTATGTATAACTTTGAAACTATTTCAAATATAAACATTAGTCAGGACAAAATAAACAATATTTCTACATTTTAAGTCATTAAAAATTGCAATCCTTTCAACTTAAGTATTTGTGAGAAAGCATAACACAAATGCAGTCGATTAACAGGAACAGCATGCTCCGCATGGAAAGGTTTATTTGTGGCTATGTTTGGAATGGAATATCAGCAATGTACATTGTACTGCCTGCTATTTTTAAGGTAACACTTTACAATAAGGTCTCTTTTGTTAAAGGGATTCACGCAAAATGAAAACCCTGTCATCATTTACTCACCCTCACATTGTTCCAAACCTGTATGAGTTTCTTTCTTCTGTTGACCACAAAAGAAGATATTTTGAAGAATGCTGGAAACCAAATTGTCGCTGGTAGTATGGAAGTCAATGGCTACCAGCAACTGTTCGGTTACCATCGTTCTTCAAAATATCTTCTTTTGGGAACAACATGAGGGTAAATGAGGGTGAACTGTCACTTTAATATTAGTATGCACTAATGAACAACAATAATACAGCATTTATTAATCTTAGCTAATGTTAATTTCTACATTTACTAATACATTTTTTTAATCAAAATATCTGTTAACACTGGTTAATGCAATGTGAAGTAATATGGACAAGCGATGAACAACTGTATTTTTATTAATTAACACTGACAAAGGCTAAATGTTGCGTATCCGAATCCAAACATAGCCTAAGTGTAAAGTAAGGTTGAACAAAAACCTAGCTGAATCAAAAAGCAGACAAGGGGTATACAGTAAAGTGCAGTACGGACGTGTCTGGAAATGCACTGAAAGTGAATGGCAAAAAAAGAGAGTAAAAAAAAAGTTCAATCAGATATTACTGTTGTGTCATCATCAAGATGTTCCTCTGTGCCAGATCCATTATGAAGCTTTGCCAATTGCTACTCAAAATTACCCCAAACTAACCAACCGTTTTGAGGGGGTCCCCCGGTAAAAATCGCGTTCCGTGGGCTAAAATACACGTTATTGTGGATGCTTCAACTCGTGGACATGAAAAACAACCCGCGGCAACAGTGATAAAGTAGCTCAATTCCACAGGAAAACCGCGGACTTGGCAACACTGTGATGGATAGTAATGTCTACAACGGACACGAGCGCTGTCACGGTGTGATTAAGAAAATAAACAATATTTCTACATTTTAAGTCATTAAAAATTGCAATCCTTTCAACTTAAGTATTTGTGAGAAAGCATAACACAAATGCAGTCGATTAACAGGAACAGCATGCTCCGCATGGAAAGGTTTATTTGTGGCTATGTTTGGAATGGAATATCAGCAATGTACATTGTACTGCCTGCTATTTTTAAGGTAACACTTTACAATAAGGTCTCTTTTGTTAAAGGGATTCACGCAAAATGAAAACCCTGTCATCATTTACTCACCCTCACATTGTTCCAAACCTGTATGAGTTTCTTTCTTCTGTTGACCACAAAAGAAGATATTTTGAAGAATGCTGGAAACCAAATTGTCGCTGGTAGTATGGAAGTCAATGGCTACCAGCAACTGTTCGGTTACCATCGTTCTTCAAAATATCTTCTTTTGGGAACAACATGAGGGTAAATGAGGGTGAACTGTCACTTTAATATTAGTATGCACTAATGAACAACAATAATACAGCATTTATTAATCTTAGCTAATGTTAATTTCTACATTTACTAATACATTTTTTTAATCAAAATATCTGTTAACACTGGTTAATGCAATGTGAAGTAATATGGACAAGCGATGAACAACTGTATTTTTATTAATTAACACTGACAAAGGCTAAATGTTGCGTATCCGAATCCAAACATAGCCTAAGTGTAAAGTAAGGTTGAACAAAAACCTAGCTGAATCAAAAAGCAGACAAGGGGTATACAGTAAAGTGCAGTACGGACGTGTCTGGAAATGCACTGAAAGTGAATGGCAAAAAAAGAGAGTAAAAAAAAAGTTCAATCAGATATTACTGTTGTGTCATCATCAAGATGTTCCTCTGTGCCAGATCCATTATGAAGCTTCTGTGCATTTTCAGCTTGTTGTGCCTCCTGCACCGAGAGAGATTTTTATTAATACAATATTCTACATTTCCTCTCACAAGGAAATGTCACTCTACTGATGTTTATCCATTCATTGCCAAATACTCTTCTGGGAATGTTTTGTTGATCTGGTCAATGTTTTGTTGATCTGGTTGATCTGGTCATCTGAATCTTGTTTTAAAGGATTCCAAAAAGCTTGGGAAGCTTTACTGGCTTTTGCATTTCAAGTAATTTAATATGATTTTTTTATGAGAATTTATATTATTCTACATGTTAGGAGAAACATTAAGGTGGACAAAGAATTACAAAAAAAATGTTCTCTTTCATAGGTTCACTCAACGCTGCGTCGCTATGATGCAATGGGAACACCCGCTGGGTGTGCCGATTGTCTGAAGACCGTATAGAATCACACCAATTCATTGGCTGATGGCGTGGGCGCTGCCTCGACGCTCTTACGTCGCCATCCTAAAGGCTGATTTATACTTCTGCGTCAGACCTACGGCGTAGGCTATGCGTCAGTTTTCATTTATACTTCTGCGTCGTTGTCCGCGTTGACGTGCAGTACACATGTAAACCGCAAGTCTGCAGTGTTCACGGGCATGTTGCTGGTGTACCATGGCAAAAGCCAAAGAAGAAGCGGCTCGTCGGAGAAGCATTATAGCCTTGACGGCGGCAAATAAATATCAAATCATTAAATCATTAATTAAAACTACAAAAAGGAGACAACAACGGAACAGGAGATGGCATTCTTTCAATCTCCACAAGGACTTGTACCACGGCAGATCAACATTGTTTG